TGAGGGCAAGTAAATAAAATGAGATAGCTTGTACACCTGTTGAGCTACCAAGCTAAATAATCTTTTTTTTTTTTTTTTCCCCTACTGTTGAAAAAAATGCTGGTAACTCAACATTGATATCTGGCCCACTATTGAACGTGTTTGAATTCCAGCTATATAAAACTAGTGTGGGCTTCAGTTAACAATCTGTCTTGATGATTCTGTGCCTCTGTCAGTCCCTGTAATGGGTGTGTGCATGTAGTGTCTGTTAGAAGGATCTCTGGGCTGTGGCAGGTTACCATTATTTAGAGTAGCTTTTCTGCTAAACAAGCTGTGGCCTGGATTTTTTTGATTTATTGTAAGCAGATGCCCTAGGATGTTCTTCTGTGGTGTTGAGCAGAGTGCAGGCTGGTCAGACTGGAAATTCTTAAAAATTAAGTTCATCTTACATCATATATAACCTGTATTTGTCAATTGTCCTTATTTTCAAGGTCTGTCATATTTGCAGAGTTTAAATTTTGAGCGCATTGTCATGTGTCAGCTAAACCCCCTGAAGATTTGTATACCCACTATTGTGAACTTGTTTGCTGCCATTACCAGGTACCTACTCATTTAATTTGATTTCAGCTTGATAAAGATATTTGTGTGTGCATGCCTAAAATCAGCACAGTACTTGGAACGTGGGTTTTGTTAGGCACAATATTGAGTATTATCTAAGACAGCTCATAGGACACTGCCCATATTCTAGGTGGGATAAGTTCAGTTTCAATGAAGACCTATGGTACTGTAAGACTGATTGCTTTTTGTTAGAGCCAATATGATTCTACTTGGAGTGAAGTTTCTAAGAGTGCATAGGAAGAGAATAGTCTCCTTACCTTTTGACTATCTTGAAAACTAGTATCAGTGGGAAAATGGAAGATAGAAATTATGTTTGTTAAAAAATAACTTTGTATTTTAATACTGTCTGAAATTCTTGCTTTTGATGTGCTAGAAACGCTTATCTTTTTTTTTTTTTTTTTAATTACGTTTTTAAAGGAAATACCAATTGGTGTTCTGCTACACAATTATTGAGAGGAACAACAGGCAGTTTATACCGGTGGTTCGGAGTGGCGCTGGGGGTGACCTTGTGCAGACATGCACTAACCCGCTTGACAGTTTCTTCCCCTTTGATCCCTACATACTCAAAAGGTATAGTTTAAAAATAACTAATTTCTGCCATGTAGAAAATAATGAACTAAAACTGTAAGAAACTGTCAGTGTTTCTACAGTTCACTTCCTTACCTGATATTTAATACCTTTCATGTTGCGTATCTTAACTAGAGATTGTCAAAGGTTTGAATTGAAATTTATCCCCACTGTGGCATATAGCGATGAGGAAGCAACAGGACCCAGTTTTGTGGAAGGTCTAGTTAAGATGTTTGGTGACTTTTCTTTTGGTTTTCCTTGTTTTAAGCAGTCTCTAAAATATCATAATGCTAGCTTAATACATATTTTGTTGGAGTTGTGGTGGTGTGTTGTTTGGTTTGGGTTTTTTGCACCTTGAGAGTATTGCTTCTTGATTGGAGACTTCAGTTTATTTAAAATATCTTGCTTTTTTAATGAAAAGTGGATTATTTTGAGGTTTTCAAAATCTCTAACACTATGATGCTTTAATTGGTTTTTAATATTAGAGGGCAACATTCTGGCTTTTTTTGTCTCTTGAAAAAAAAAATCTGTCTCCACAGAATGGAGACCTTTCTTAGAAGTAGAAATTATTAATAATTGTAGTAACGGATACTATTAAATTATATAAAATTACATCTCCTGTATGTGTGCATCTATAATGTTAATAATAATAAAATTATTCAAAAATTTGGAAGAAAACTAGACTTACTTGTGAGCATAGTGTAGCTGTTAAAAATATCTGTCAAGGTATTAGGAGGACTGACTGTTTCAAAACTCAAGCAAATAATTGTAATTTGTACTATGAGCAAAATGGAGTTATTTCTTCATGGGATTAATTGGAGATGATATAGGGATTAATGGAATAGTTTGTAAAACCCTACAGAGGGCTATCAAAATGCCAAGTATTTAATACTGTATTATTAAAATGAAATAACTATGACTTTTCTGAATACATTAGTTCTTACTGTGTTTTAATTCCTTTTTCAGATCAAAGAAGACCATTGATCCTTTTTATCAGTTTTGGGAAGAACTGAGTGCTGAAGATCTTGAGAATCTAAAGAAACCCATTAAAAAGGTAATCTTTTCTGATCAAAATGCAGTTCAGCTCTTGCCAAATCTCTTATCAGCTGCTTCTATTGCAGGATTAATTTTTTTTAGTAGATACGAGTACACTAAACATTTAGGAGAAACTGTGATTGAAATTTGGAAGCTTTAGGGAGTGATCTGCCCTTGCTTTGAGAACACTTTTCCCCTCTTCTGCAGAAGAGTTAGTTTGGCAGCACAGGACCGCTGTGAACACTTATGAACACTCTCCGAATGGGAAACCCACTTTGTAGATATGAATTAGTTCTGTATTTTGTAATGAGAGTACATATAATTTTCTTACCATTACAGCTAGTTACGACAACTGTAGTACAACCCAAATCCTGAATTATCTCCTTCTAAAGCTCCTATGTAGTCTGTTTACCTTCTTGCAGAATGTCTATCCTATGTCAGATTTTGAGTCCTTCAAATTATGTGCTTTTCTTTCCTGCCCATGATAACTTGTAAAAACACTTTATGGTGTTGTAGCTTTGTTAACTGGTAACTTTATAAACTTTTCTGTAGCATTTTGATTAGCAGATTTGATTATTGCAACATTTCAGAACTTATTTTAGAAATACCCTTTTTGGTCTCAGCATTCATTACTTCTGTCAAATCTTAATAGACACCTGGAGTATCTCTCTGCTGTCACTGATCCTTTTAAATTTATGCAGGGTACTTCTGAAGATGAAGATGATGACTTTTTGAAAGGAGAAACCCCTCAAAATGATGGTGTGGTTGGAATTGCTCCAAATTCTTACGAGTCAAATACCCGGAGCCCAGTGAGCAGCATTGGCTCTCCTCCAGAGTGTTTTGTGCCATACCCTCAATGACATGGAGAATCAGAAGTGAAAAGGTTGAAAATTGTGTGCAATTTTTTGCTCTGTAAAGAGACTTCAGCCCAACTTACCAAACTGGCGAATGTTTAAGTGACTACATTTAAGAGAAATTATTGTTTCTTAATCATCAGATTTTTAAATATATGTTACGATAAAGTCGTATGTTGCTAGAAAAGCTTATAGAATAAATAGGGTGATATTTTACAAATTTCACATTGAAATGGTTTTTATGACTTACAAGGATTTTCTGTAGTTTTTCCTGACTTAAAAGATTTGTTTACTAATGTTTCTCTACAAGGTTTTATATATCAGGGGTGAAATTCTGGTCGATCTTCCTACTGATTTATGTGGGGACCAGAATTCCATTGTCAGTATTCAAACTGTACTCTGACTGGTTTCAAAGCAATGGTGTGATCCCACGATAGGGAAGCCGTGAATCAAGTCTGACTGATTCTTTTGCACACATCTCTTAAGCTTTTCCTATCTGTAGAACAGTCTTTGGTAAAGCCACTTGATAGTGGAAAGTATATTCAGATGATAAGCATTAATGACTCCTTAAACTGTAGCTAACACACAACTTTCCCAGCTATGACAGTTCAGAGTTGTAAAAGTGATGATTATTGGAACTGTTGAAAATGGAGTAGCTGAATCTATGATTTGTAGATAGTTTTCTTTCATGTGCTTGTGAAGCACTGTGAGACAAGTATTTATTTTCAGGATTTGGAGTTTATATGTGAATGTTGAAAATACAAAAAAAAATTTTGTCGAAAGGAAGTGATGTTGTCACTGGTGTCCTTGTGCTGTCTGTGTTGGTGTAGAGTTTCTCTGCATAGATTTCCTGTCTTTTCATGATTGCTGGCTTTTAGAGTAGGAATATAAACAGTGGAAAAAAATGTTATTTGTGTGATTTTATGCATTTGGGACTAAACTCTTAATTGCCCTCTTTAGAATCTTAACTTGGAGGCTTTGAAGACAACCTTTTTGTTCAGAGCCAATAAATATTGTTGCAAACAGTGTAATTCTTAAACCTTTGAAAAAACACATCTCTATGTAACTAAGGATCTCTCTGTGTAGTCTAGCTTCTCAAAGTTAGGATGTTTGTTCTGGCAGTCTGCAAAAATGACTTTTTGGGATGATACTGCAAAATGCATCAGTGGATCTGTTTCTTACTGGATAAATTGAGACAGTTTTGTTTTTAATTTTAGTCCTCTTTACTGTCAGTCCTGAGTAATAAAAAATAGATTTCTGTCTTGAAGTAATTGCATTCTCTGCCAGCATGGAAGAACTTTTCCCACATCAACAGCAAACAAAACATCATTTGAAAGCTGCCTCTTTCTGTTCTTTCACTATTACATCTTTAGCAACGTAGCAGCCATGTCTTAAAAAATGAGGCTGTGTGAAACTTTCCAAGTTGTAACACCAGGTATGTGATTCAGGAACTTTGTGTCTTACTGAGAGTGAAAAAAGAAAGGTAAGTGCTGTGAAGTATAACGTAAGCAAATATGCTGACATGGAACTGTCTATACTGAAGTTACACAATTAACATTCATATACTTAAAGGGATTTGCTTAAAGATTCGGGTGGGAACTCCACAGTGCTTCTGTAACCTTTTCTGTGCTGGATCTGGTTTGCGTGGTGTCACCGCAGACCGGTGAGCTGGCAGGTGCTGGCACTTTGCTAAGGAGATTTTGTTCCATAAATACCACCAGTATTGCAAGGAAAGCTGATTCGGAAGTGGAAATTTTGCCTTGCCCGAGAAGCACAATGTATCTTTCGAAGAAAATATCTGCTGTAGCTGTTTTAATTTTGTGAAAATCGCTTTGGAAAGGTAGAGCTAGGCTGCTGGGGTTGTTCCTCTCTGTTGGTTGTGCCCGCTGCCCTGGCTGTCGGCTCCCTGCGCAGTGAATTTAACTCCGCTGCTGCCGCGATTGCGTTTCTCACTGTTTGTGCATGGGCAACTGGAGGAAAAATCCCTGGTCTGTAAAGGAAAAACAGCCGTCTCGGGAGCGCCTGAAAATTTCACTTTGTGGTTGCTGGGGCTGGCGAACAGCGGCACGGGTTACCTGTCGGTTTGGGGCTGTCGTGGGTATTTCCACAGCGGCTTCTGGCGGATAAGCTCGCGGTCGCGGGAGGGGTTTTCCGTTACGCTAAAACGGCCCCAGGCGGTCCCGCCGCCGGGCTCGGTTCCCGCGGGCGGTGCCGCCGCCCGGTCCGG